ACTCTTTTCTTTTTTTTTTTTTTTTAATATTTTATTTATTTATTTATTTGACAGAGATAGATCACAAGTAGGCAGAGAGGCAGGCAGAGAGAGAGAGGGAGAAGCAGGCTCCCTGCTGAGCAGAGAGCCTGATGCGGGGCTCGATCCCAGGACCCTGAGATCATGACCTGAGCCGAAGGCAGAGGCTTAACCCTCTGAGCCACCCAGGTGCCCCACTCTTTTCTTAATCACCTCTAGCCACCTAGTCCCACCTCTGTAGGAGAGAAACTGAGAAGTATTTGTGAAGGTGACAGCCCAGGGCACAGACCTATCATAGGAATATCAGTGTCGCCTCTCCCCTCTAGAACTTAACACCACATCACTAAAGCCCTATTTCCTGGAGTCCCTTTCACCCAGCATATCATACCCAGTGTTGAAGAAAATCTTACGAGGCATAATAAAAAGCTAAAAAACATAGCTTGAAGAGAGACAAAGCAAGACTCAGATATGGCAGGGATGTTGGAATTATTATACCAGGAATTTAAAACAACCATAATCAGTATGTTAAAAGCTCTAATGGAAAAAGTAGACAACATGGAAGAACAAATGAATAATGTAAACAGAGAGATGAAAATTGTCTTAAAAAATCTTAAAGAATTACTGGAGATCAAAAACACTGCAAAAGAAACGAAGAATGGGTCTGATGGACTCATCAGTAAACTAGATACCGCTAACAGAAGAATCTTTGAGTCTGAGGATAAGTAGGCAGAAACTTCCAAATGGAAAAGCAAAGATTAAAAAAAAAAAAAACCTGAAAAAAATCAGAACAGAGTATCCAAGAAATGGTGGCAAGAACCAAGAGTGTACACACACAGGTAATGGGAATACCAGAATGAGAAGAAAGAGAGACAGGAATAAAAGAATTATTCGAAGTGATAATGACTGAGAATTTCCTCAGATTAATGTTAGACATGAAAACACAGCTCCAGGAATCTCACAGAACACCAAGCAGGATAAATAACAAAAACAAACAAATAAACAAACAAACAAAAACTATACCTAGACATAGCACATTCAGACTGTAGAAAATTAATGATTTTTTAAAAACTCTTGAAAGAAGACAGGAGGGGGGGGAATCGCTTTAGAGAAACAAAGATTAGAATTCCATCCAACTTCTCATAAACCATGCAAGCAAGAAGAGAGTGGAATGATATATCTAAGTGCTGAGAGAGGAAAAAAATGCCAATCTAGAATTCTATACTCTGTGAAAATAATCTTCAAAAGTGAAGGAGAAATAAAGACTTTCCCAGACAACAAAAATTGAGGCAATATGTTGCCAGTAGACCTGCCTTGCAAGAACTATTAAAAGAAGCCCTCCAGAGAGAAGGAAGGGCTGATCTCCATAACGGAAGTAAGAACATCTTACGTAAGTAAGAACATAGGCAGAGAAGGAGTAAGTGATGGTGAAATGACAACTTTAGTTTTCCTACTCTTATTTAGTAGGGAACAGTTTGTTCAAAATAATAATAGCAACAATGTATTTGACTATGTATGCTTATATACATGTTTATGTACACACATATATGTGAAATGAAGGACAGCAATGATACAAGGAATGAGAGGGAAGAATTCTTAATATTTTGTTATAAGATACACTAACTGTGAAGAGGGCCAGTGCTATTTGAAATTAGACTTGGATTCATTGTAAATACATATTGCAAACTCTAGAGCAACCACTAAAACAAAGTGAAAAAATAGGAGAGAAAAATGGCATCATATAAAATGCTCAATGAAAGCTACGGAAAGCAGAAGAACGTGTAGAAGACAAAAATAAGAACAGAAAAAGGGCAAGTAATAGAAAAGAGTAATAAATATGGTATATATCAAGACAGCTATATTAACAACCACTTTAAATGGCAATAGTCTAAATATACAATTAAAAAACAGTGATTGTCAGAACTGATCAAAAAACAAGACCTAACTGACTATATGTTATCTAAAAGAAATCTACTTCCAAAACAGAAAACACTGAGCCCAGATGGGTTCTCTGGTGAAATCTACCAAACATTTAAGGAATAAACCATACTAATTCTCTATAATCTCCTTCAAAATATAGATGCAGAGGGAATACTTCCTAACTCATTCTATGAAGCCAGCATTACCCGATTAACAAAACCAGACAAGGCCATTACAAGAAAATAGCAAACCAATATCTCTTAGGAATATAGATGCAAAATCAACAAAATATTAGCAAATTAAATCCAACAATGTACAAAAAGAATTATATACCATGACCTATCAAGTAGGATCTAACGTATGCAAGGCTGGCTCAACATGTGAAAATCAATTAATGTAATCCCCTTGACAAAATCTAACTCATTCATGATAAAAACTCTCCACAAACTAAGAACAGAAAGAAAACTACTTCAGCTTGATAAAGAACATCTACAAAAATCCTAGAGCTAGCTTCATACTTAATGGTGAGAAACTAGAAGCTTTCCTGCTGAGATCAGAAATATGGCACCACTTTCCAACACCATACTAGAAGTCCCAGTTAATGCAATAACAATTAGACAAGGAAACAAAAAAGTATAGTACAGATTAAGAAGGAAGATGTTTGCAAATGATTTGACTGTCTATATAGAAAACCTGAAAGAATAAAAAACTCCTAGAACTAATAAGTAATTACAACAAGGTTGCAGGATACAGGGATATTATACAAAAGTCAATGGTTTTCTTATATATGAACAACGAACAAAGGGAATTTGAAATTAAAAACACAATACCATTTACTTTAGCGCCCCCCCCCAATGTAAATACTTTGGTATATACCTAACAAAATAGGCACAAAACTTATATGAGCAAAACCCTAAAACCGATGATAAAAATATAAAGTACTTTAAATAAATGGAGAGATATTCCATGTTCACGGGTAGGAAGCCTCAATATTGTCAAGATGTCGTTCTTACCACCTTGATCATAAATTTGTCACAATCTACATCCCAGAAAGTTATTCTGTGGGTGTCAACAGATTCGAAAGTATATGAAAGGCAACAAACAAACAAACTGAACAACCAACACAACATTAAAGAGAAAGAATGAGGTAGGAGGCCTGATGTTAACTGAATTCAAGAATTACCATAAAGTAATCAAGACAAAGTGGTATTGGAAAAAGAACAGGGTAATACAGAAATAGAACAGAATAAAGAGTCCAGAAATTGACCCACATAAATAGAGTCACTGATCTTTGGCAAAGGAGCAAAGGCAATACAATGAGGTAAAGAGAGTCTTTCCAACAAATGGTGCTGGAACAAGTGCACAACCACAGGCAAGCAATCAATCAATCAATCAATCAAGACACAAAACTTATACCCTTCTCAAAAAATTAACTCAAAATGGATCACAGACCTAAATATAAAACCAAATTATTATAAAGCATATGAAACATAATACAGGAAAAAAAACCTAGGTGATCTCTGGTATGGTGATGGCTTTTTAGATAAAACATCACAGTCGTGATCCATGTAAGAACTGATAAAGCTAACCCTCATTAAAATGAAAATATCTGTTTTGGGAAAGGCACTGTCAAGTAAATGAGAAGACAAGCCAAAGACTGAGAAAAAATATTTGCAAATGACATATCTGATGGAGGACTGTTACCCAAAATATACAAAGAGTGCTTAAAATTCAATAAGAAAATGAGCAATCCATTTAAAAAAGTGGTTGAAAGACCTGAACAGATACCTACCCAAAGAAGATAAACAGAGCGTAAATGAATATATGACAGAACTCAGTATCATATATCACTAGGGAAATGCAAATTTAAACAGTGAGATTCTACTTCCCACCTGTTATAATAGCCCAAATTGAAAATACTGACAACACCAAATGCTTCCAAAGACATGGAGCAACAGGAACTCTCCTTCACGGCCGGTGGGAATGCAAAATGGTACAGCCACTTTGGAAGACAGTTTGGTAGTTCCTCATGACACTGCACATAGTCTTGCTATATGACCCAGCAGCAGTCTTACTCCTCAGTATTTAGCCCATCGAACTGAAAACGTACATCTACACCAACACCTGCGGCACACAGCTCTTTACAGCAGTTCTATCCACAACTCCCAGAGCTTAGAAGCAACCGGGAAGTCCTTCAGTAGGTGAATGGATCACTTCGGTCCAGACAACAGAATACTAGTCAGTGGTAAGAACAAATACACCAACGAGCCACAAAAAGACATGGAGGAAGCTTCGTTACGTATTACTACGTGGGACAAGCTGATCTGAAAAGGCAACATACTGTATGATTCTAAACATACGACATTCTGGAAAAGGCAAAACTATGGAGACGGGAAAAGGATCTGTGGTTGTCAGGGACTGTGGGGAGGGAGGGACTTAAGAGTCGGAACACGGAGGATGTTTAGGGCAGTGAAGCCATTCCATAGGTCACTGTAATGATGGATTCACGTCCCCATACATTTGTTAAAACCCATTGAGTGTACACCACCAAGGGTGAATCCTAATGCGAACTATGGACTCCGGGTGACTGTGACGTGTCAATGCTGGTACCCTGATTGTAGCAATGGACCATCTGCTGGGATATGCTGACAGTGGGGCAGGTGCACCACATGTATAGGGCCAGGAGATATATGGGAATCTCTGTTTTTTATGCACAAGTTTGCTATGAACTTTAAACTGCTCTAAAAACTAGTCTTCTAAAAAAATTTGTGAACTGATATATTATCCTGTATTTTCTATCGTATTCTATTTTTTTAAAATTTCTTTCAACAAATTCTGGTCATCTCCTAGGAAACTTATTTCACGAGCCACTAATGGGCTGGAAGGAAGCCCCTCCCCCCCAAATTGCTATAGGGCAGTGTCTTCAGAGGCCCTATGAAATCCATTCTCTATCCCACAGGCTCCAGTGGTCACAGTCGGCTCATTCAGTTTCTGAGCAAGAGGACTTCCCAGCCACCAGCCACCAGCCCAGGGGGGGGACAGGTCCCTGAGGACAGCTGCAGTACCTGGAGGGAGGGTCTCCATGCTCTGTGCTTTCTCATCCCCGTTGCTGTGATGAAGGTCTTTCTTTTTAATTGGGTCAATTTCATTCCAGTCCTCCTAAGGGGAACAAAGACACCATATGAGTTGATCAGTTTCTCAAGCGTATCTGCATTTACCAGTTCAATCAACAGTAAGTGGGAGGATGTCTGCGGGCCCTGGGGATGCAAATGATGAGGGAGAGAGAATTCCCGTCTCCAGGACCTGCATCCCAGGACTTCTCAGACACTGGCGACGTGAGGGGACAACAGTATGGGAGTGGCCTTTTCTAAGGAGAGATTTCCACTTCCCTCTTCATTTTAATATTTGCACTGCCTAAGTGTGGGAAGGAAATACTCCGGAAATTCCCAGGGCTCTGTGGATCTGTGAAGGTAGGGAAGGGAGATGGGGAGAGTAGATTAAATAAAATAATTCAATAGTGGTTAAATTAAAGCCATTAAAATCAGGGTAGCTCTCCAGACATCTTAAGATGGTTTAAGGACACCCTAGGATGCAAATTCTCCCTCCAGGCCCCTTGGAGCCCTCCTCTGAGGTTGCTAAATGATTTAATTCCACTGAGTAACAGTGGAGGGAGGAGGAAGACCAGCCAAGCTTTTCCTAGGGCTCACTCTAATAAGACTGCCAATAGAACAGAGCTGTAAATTAAGGGTTTAATGTGAAACCAGAATAAGATATAAGCTCTGGCAGAATTTATTCAGCTCATCTGCACAAACAATTTACTCTAATCCATCAACATTAAATCAAACTAAAAAACATCGCCATGACCACAGAGCTAAATATATTTTGCAACCACTTGGAATCTGATTTCGGCAAATCGAGTAAGAAAGGCTTCTGTATATAACCCAGATCAGAAACGTCCCATGGCTAGTCATTTTCCTACCCAGACTTCTGCGAGCCCAGCATTGTCGACTGAGCATGCCCCCCAAGCAGAGGCTGCCGGCACGATCCGCAGCGTTAAGCCCTCCAATGGGGGAGACCCGACCAGTTCCGAACAGGTCTGTCCAGCCAGCATTCCTCTGGGCCAGCACTGGCTGTGTGTTGTGCAAAAGCTGACCACTGGAGACATTTTGGCTCTTCAAAAAGTAAAGTGAGATCTTCAAGGAGGGCAATCCCTGGGGGCTGGGCCAAATCTGACATTTTCCCCAAATGCAACTTGCTCTGCCAATCATCTGCAGTTTTACTCAAACGGTACAGTAATCAAAGAGAAACCATGCCTAAGCTTCCTCCCTCTTGAAGCCAGCTTTCCCTTCAGCGGCTTCTTCGGGGATACAGCTGGCTCGATCACCATGGAAATGATGGGTGGGGCACACAGGAGGATGACCCCACTGCAGAAAGAGGGGGCTGGTGAGGAATCTTCATGCCCTGGCAGTCCTAGCCCCACCCAGCCATCACAAGGCCTTTGTCCTTCAGGTGCCCCAAGTGCTGGGACTTTTGAAGATTTTACCCTGCATTTTAACAAAGGTATTAAAATGCATCTGTGTCCCAATTCAAGCATTCTTTTGCTTCAAAATTTTTTTTTTCAAAGGTATTCATAAATTGGCTTTTGAGATTATCTGGTTAAAAATAAACTTTCGGTTTACTATCGGCAATGATCTCGCAGCAAGACTGGCAAAGGCATGGGAGGGAGAGAATCTAACCTACAACCTTGACAATATATGGAAACATGCGGATACAAATTCAGTAAGTAATGAAGTAACCAGAGTCACGCTGTGCAGACTTTTAATTAAGCATTATTAATTCTTACTTTGCATCTTGCTTATAGCATTCTGTGGCTAATAACTTTTTCCCCCCACGGGCATTACACTGGCTAATGGATCAAACCATTTAACCTTGTACTTGAACAAAATCAAACGTGAAAGTTGCTTATGGGGCCAGTGCCTTACTTTCCACGTGTGAGAACCAAGGCATCGGCTATATGCTCGGCAGAATCGACACTGGGGCAGGTCAGCCATCCGCGCTTTCGTGGAAAGTAAATGCTTCCTTCTTCCCACAGGCGGGACCGACTAGTCCACATGCAACACTCCTTAACCTCCCCTCCCACTGCCAATCCAGCACCCCCAATACAAAACCAAAGTGGGAGCCCGGAATGCGCTGAGTGGCTACATCCAAGCGGGTGAAATGATGCTAAGCCCCACTGACAGATCCCTACTGCGCATCACATGCTCTTGTCCCTGCCACAGCCACCCGGCTGCTTACAAGTCCTGTTTCACGAGGGGCATGTGGAGGTCGGCGAGCCTATGCAGCCTGCCCATGTCGGTCACGCAGAGAGCGATAAGCTAAAGGTGGCTTCTTCCCAGTCAGGACTCCGTTTAAACCAAGTGACGAGAGCCTGAGTCTCACAATATCACACGACTCCAAGGATACGTTTCTAGGAGGTCTTTCTCAAAGGACTCTTTTACCCTGGACTCCCGAGTCAAGAACTGAGAATGACCATGGTAAGCACCTGCTCCTAGAGGAGAGTGAGGAGCTGGAGGGAGAAAAGGACCCACCAAGGCTGCTAACACTCAGAGCGCTTGGGAGGCGCCGAGCCCCATTCTAGACACTGCACACACCCTGATCTTCTGCACGGTGCTCTGGATAGCCCCATTTTACAGATGAGGAGGTTGAGGCACTGAGAGCTTACATAGCACAAAGGACACAACAAGGCTAGACTTGAACCCAGGGGATTTAGTATTGGTTCCGCGGTCTCTATCATTCTACTCTACTTTTAGATAAAACATCTTCCCCCTCTACCAAGCAGGTAGAGACAAGTAAGGCAAAACAATGTATTAACCATGCATCTCAGCATATGTCTGATCATTGTAAATGCCTGATCGTTCAGGATCACTGACTGGATTCACTGCCTGAGACAGAGTCTGCCTGTGTAGGACCTGCCACCTTTCAACAGCTCACCCTTCCAGACACTTGTCATGTTCCACTCTTTTCCCGTAGCCCTGACCCATGGCCTTTGCTGGATGAAAGAAAGTCTCCAGAGACACGGTGGGGACCGGGCGGCTTCACCTTGGCAGATCGTGCCTGATGGGGTGCAGACAAGCATCCAACGATGATGGCACAGGGTCACACACCCTGAAGACTGCGGGGGCAGGGCATGCCGGCGGGAGTGTCGAGAAGGCTCTGAGAATCCTGTGTGCCAGAAGCGACACCTTGCAGAGACCCGAGAGGGTCAAGAATTGACCTGGTGAGATGAAATGATGGGGGTGGGGAGATGAAGGTCGTGACGGAGGAAACAGCACAGAAGACAGAAAACAGACACGGACGAGGCAAGATACCGAGACTTGAGACTTGGGTTCCAGAAACATCTCTTTGGCCGTAGTGTAGGGAGCACATGGAGGGGATAGAAGAGAGGCCAGCGGAGCAATGCAGCAAGGGACCGTGGTGAGCTGCTTGGATCTGGGTCCCAGAGATGAGGAGAGGAGGTCGGCACAGCCATGGGTTGGGAATTGGAAGGGGAGAGTGAGAAGGAAGGAAGGAATCAGAGCTGCAGGTTTCCTACCTGCATGTTTGGACAGGAGGGGCACTCCCGCTAAGGAACACAAACCAGTGGTGTGGGCGGGGTAAGGAGCGGTGCCAGGAAAGAGGCACGAGTCTGTTTGGGAAATTTGGGGGTTCCTGCAAGATATCAAGAGGAGGTAGCTGGCAAACATGGGAAGACACATGGTTGCAGCTTTGGAAAAGCAGGAGACCATGGAAGCTGCTGGTGAGTGTGTGAGAGCATCCGGGGAGGGAGTGAGCCGAGTGAGAATGGGGTCCTGGACTGGGGGGCGGGGGATGCCAATACCTTAGGGGCAGGCAGGCACGTGGCATGTTGGGGAGGAGCTGGGACCTGGGAGCTGAAGCTTCGGGTCTAGCCACGGGGGTCTGAGGAAGCCATCAGCCTCTGTCCACTGGGCCACCGGGCTGAAGGTCGCATAGTTCCTGCTTGCCCTAAGCATTCCTGGGGACCAGATGGAGCCAGCACTTTCTTGTACATTCTACCTATCACATATACATTTGGTGTCCGAAAGCACTTGAGGTCCCTGGAGGGCAGGAGGGCACCGAGGGTGGTGCTGCTCCTGTGAGTTTCCTAACAACAGAGCTGGGAAAAAAGTCCCCCCGCTGCTCGCTCAGACGGATCGGCCCGGCCTCGCCCACTCTGCAGAGGAAGCATTTCCTTACAGCAACTCCCCACCACACAGCCACATACACTGGAGGACTTAATTACACACGCGGAGGCTCGCTTCACAAGGGAACGCGCGGGACGAAAACTCGGGAGAGGCCTCTCATGCCCAGGACCTGCAGACAGCCAGGACACGCCACCAACTGATCCATCTGTCTGTTCCCCCGTAAGAGCAAATGACGCGGTGGCAGACAGGTCCTCTTCCCAGTGGTGCGGGTAAACTGCTGAGATGAGAGAAGCAATGATGTGAGGGATGCCGGGTCAGGAGTTACAGGGAATCCAGAGCCCGCGATCTGGTCACCCTGCTCTGACTGCCCAGGCTGCTGCCCATCTCTGCGCCGTCCCCTCCCACCCCCTGCGGGGGGCTGTGACACCGCATGCACAGTGACTAGCCCACAGATAGCCCGTGCTGCTGACCAGCGTGGGCAAGGGTGGGCTCGGTGGTTCTGGCCCCACACCGGGCTCTGGCCGGGAAGTCGGAGCAGAGGTCGGCCAACCCCATCAGCCACCGCAGAGCGGAGGAAGCCGCTGCCCCCGCCGGACTTTGCCATTTTGAGCACACTGGGGGGATGACCTGGAGGGCCTCACCTGAGGCATGAGACCGTCTGGGCCCTCTTAGTGGGCATGTGAGCCAGAGCGAGCGCAAACCCAATTTCCTGTCCTCGTACTTACTGACCGACCTGCGCCTCGCAGCCTCCTACTACTCATACTTGAACTCGGTGAGTTCTTGTAGAGCCTCAGAAGCTCGAGATGGGCACTTTGATCGCACCGTTCCTACAAACGTGCGCGACGGAGTGGTCTGTTATCACCTGGAGCACAGACGACATTAAATCAGGCCGGGAGACGGTTCGGATGGAAGGGAAGGGCTGAGCGATGTCTGTTGACCTACCGCAATTAGAGAGCA